GGTAAAAAAGCAGAAGCAGGACTTCAGTGAAGACTGGTCCTGGAAAGCGGTATCAAATGGAACAGAAAGCCAGGAATGCCCTTGCGGTTGGAGCTGAGTTGGATGGCTGCCTGCAGCAGGAAGAGGAGTTGTGGATCCTGAGAATGGTGCTCACTCACAAAGTTACAGGGCAACTTCAATAACAGTAAAGTTTCCTTCAGTTTTAGGTGAAAACAGACAATACCCTGCTGGAGATTTTGGAACAGGTCTTACTCACCCTTCCGGGCAGCTACTGCCTGGATGGGAAGCGGCAGAAATTGAATTGTTAATGTGAAAGAAATAAAAAATCTGCTTAGTTGCATTCAAAACTTTTCTGCCAGAGACATTCCTCATTAAACACACATTGTGGGATTTTTTTCAAAAGAGCTTGGCACAGCCTTTTCTCTGCTCCCACTGGAATCCATGTAGGTGCCACAGATTTCAGTGGGAGGGGAACTAAATCAATATGGAGTGCTTTGGAAAAATGCAGCTCAGATGGATCCTGGCAGCGTGAGTAGATAGGGATTGGAGGTGATGCTGAAATTGTCACGTAGAAATTTTCCATTCTGGCTAGGAGTATCCTCTCCATTCTCCTTGGTTCAGAGGTAATGGAAAGCAGTGTGTGGCAAAGCATGACTTGAGGAGAAGGGAAAGTCAGTGTAGAATGAAATATGAATATCCTAATTTCTCCTCTCTTCTGTGTCCTTTGTCAGGACAAAAACTTCATCTCAGAACTTCCTTTTACCTGAGGTTGCCACTTAACTCTTCAAGAACATATCGGCCAATTGCAAGAAACAGTGCACATTGGGCATAATGCTCCTTCTGGATAGGATTCTCCTGAGGTGGTCTGAGCAGATTGGTGCTCTGTTCTCTCTAGAGTGCACCTCACAAATGCTCAAGCGTGGTAAAAGATGGGGAGGAGGTCATGTTCCCTTTGTCCAGTTCCCTATCTCACATAGAGATAGAAAGCAGAGGCTGTTGTGCCGGGTCACAGCCTGATCTCATGGAAAAATGTAGCTTGGAAGGGACCTCTGGAGGCTCCTAGTGCAATTTCCTGCTTTAGGCATGGCAAATTTCAGAGGGTTGTTCAGCTGCAGAGGCAAAGTGGTATCTTCTCAGGCCTAGAGCGTGAGAGGGAGAAGAGCAGAGTAATCACAGGCCACAGACATAGCTGGGACAAAATGTACAGCCTAAAGACTTCCATTAGGAGTCTGTGAGTGAAAATACATATCTGGTGATTCAGTGGTCTTGAAGGAAACCTGACATGGCTGACATCCTGCATTTCTTTGGTTGATGTCATTCTTTCCCCACCAGATAGTAAGATCACTTATGAATGCATGTTGTCATACGATAATCCTGTTTCACTACGTGTTCTCTAATTTTCACCTGGACACTAAATTGGTAAAGGTTGGTGAAGGGTGGGGTTGTGTTTGGGTTCAAGATTTCGCACAGCTTGGTGTGCAAACACAGCTGGTACCAGCTGCAGAGTTGGTGTCTCAGGTGGGTCCTAATTTTCTAGTTCTGAGGTTATTTGAGTAGTTGAATGTAGTGACCGTAGCCCAGTCCTGTAACAATGTTATTCTCACAAGGTGACACTGTCACTCATTGAGAAACTTTCAGCAAGTGGCTGATTTTCCTCATTCACTCAGTTTTTTTGCTTCTCTTTTGGACACATTGCTTTTAGCTTCCCTTGATAAATTTCAGACCTTCTGATAGAGAAAGCTATACAACTATCAAATAATGACCTCTGAAGGGAACCCTAGCCTCTGTGACACACAGCAATTCACCTCTTCTTTGCTTGAATGGTTCCTTAATAGCTTCGGCCTGCTTGGTGTTAACTGAGTCCCCAACAAGTACAAACTGCCCTTCTATGTGGGTGGCATTGTTAAAAGAACAATACTGTAGTGTCTTCTAGAGGCAGCAGCGGGGTTTGCTGTGCACTTTGAAGGAATGTACTGTGGTTTAATTGCTGCCCATGACATGCTCTAATAGGGTCTGTCACCTTTCCTTTTGAGAAATTAGGAAAGAGTGCCAAAGCCAGGAGCCCCTCTGCTGCCAAACTCACATTCAACCCACATGAGGGTAAGGATCACTGTGAGCTAATGGGTCATGACAACCACTTTGGTGCCGTTAGCATTTTAGGACTTTTCTTAGTCAGGAATTTATTTGAATGTGTCAGTTGCCACTGACTAGCTGAATACTTGTCATGACTGAGAGTTCTGTCTCTTGGATCGAAATGATCTGTCCAGCTGTGACTGTTTTTTCCCAAGGAATGTTAGTGTTCACTTCAGTGAATAGTTTTAACACTGGCTAATTTTTTCCACTGAATAGCATCCCAACATGAAAGTATCTGTTCATATAAAATATTTTTCTAGCTGAAATGTGTGTAGCTCTAGTTTCATGGTAACTTCATTCTCATTAACACAGCAGCATTATAAGGGAACTAGCAGAATTCAGTTCTACCACGTCAGCAATTTTATTTTTTGTAACAAAGAAATGTCTGGCTGAAAAAGGACTAATACTTTTTTTTAAAGAATCCACATGGATGTATAAAGTATTGGTGCCATTTGGTATAAATTGTAATCAATTCCAGATTCTGCTGCACTCAGAAACTTGAATCATGGAATTGTACATGGTGGTTTCTGTATTTTGAGGGCTCTCACCTAAACCACAGCTCTTGTAACAAGTAAATTGTTACATCCATGCTGTCCAATCCCTTGTCTTAATCATGTTAAGAAAACTTTGGTTTAACTATGAATCAAAATTGTATTCCTAAGCCATGCAGCTTTTCAGGTGAAATGACACAACCAGCCTTGCTACACTGGGGCAAAGTAGGTGGGCTCCAGAGCCTTAGGTCAGATGGTCTGAATTTCACTTAATTCCTTCAATTGTGGTTCCTTTATTAAAGTATTTCTGAAGGCCTGGAGCCAGGAAACGTGGAATACTAAGCACTGGGATGTAGGTTGTTTGGTCTGCTTTTGGCACCCTGTGTGTGTTTTAAGGCATATTAGAGGTACAAAGAGGTAAAAGGGAAAGGCCCAAGCACGCACAAAGTCTGCTGTTTGCTTGTATAATGTCGGTGATTAATAGAAGAGCGTGACTGTGATGAGGACATGGTCGTTGAAACAAAAGAATGTTTCAAGCTTCTTTCACAGCTTGGGTCAACTGCTGCCCTCTTGAATTAGGCAAGGGAGATGGAAGACGGCTGGACACACCAAAATCTCTTTTGTGAATTGCTGGTAACAAAAACTGATAGGCCAATAAACAACTTAGGTTTGCTGGCTGGTTTGTTTTCCATGGAACCAGAGCCAGCATGTGCCATCTCCCTGAACCTTTTAACGTCGTGACCAATTTCAACCACGTGTGTAAGACAATCTAGGCAAAAAGGCCAGTACAATCTGAGGTTTGCGAAGTTTGATTAACAGCTGGAGACAAATGACTCAACCAATCCTGCCTGCTGAGACCATGGACAACATTTGGTTTGGCAGCAGTGTCAAAGCGTCTGCATCTGTCACCCTGTCCTGACACCCACACCTGCAGACAGGTGCTACCTGTGCTTGTTGAGAGTGCTAGAGATGCAAGGACCTGGAGCTGGAGTTAGTCTGCTGAGGAGACTGTAACAAAGAGAGGTTATAAGAATTCAGGCTTCACTTTAGTTTTGCTGCTTATGGAACAACTTCAGGTTCTTTTCGTTTGGTTTTGTTTGGTTGGTTTTTTTGTCTGAAATAACACAAAGTAAGGGTCTCTGAGTGTATATTTTATAAGAATGGTGAAGTCCCAGGCTATTCCTAATTTGCCTTTTTTTTTTTTAAATGTAATAGATCAGCAAGAAGCCAATCTTGTGGCTCAGAATTACATGTTCAGTAGAGTGTTTGGCCCCCAAGGAAAGACTTCTAAGGGTACTGAATTTTGAGTGTTACTTCCTCAGCTGTCATACTGGTGAACTTCCAGGAAAAAGCAGAAACTCACACTGTCATTTTAGCTCCCTAGCTGGGGATAGATTGATGGAGTATTGGGATGTTGAAAATTTGAGGCTGCGGTGCCAGTTGCACTGGCACCTTTGGGGCCTATGCTGTCTTTCAGAGGTGAACACAGCCAGTTTCTGAAGCAGAAGAAGGGGGGAGACAAAATTCCAGCAGACAGAGAAAAGGGTTTGGGAAAGACAGATGCTTCTGAAAATTCAGTCACATGGACTTTAATAAGATCTACTGTAGTACACAGTTCTAAAAGGGATACAACTTACGATACTTTTGGTTCAGTGGCTGACCTGAATATTGGAAAATAAATTTTATTCAGAATCAAAACAAGTATTTCTTTTTACAAGAAATAATAATCTAATTTTCTGACAATTGGACCGCATTTGACTCACTTTTTAAAACCTCAAGTTATCCTTCTCCTTAAAAATGCCGTGCAGGTATAAAAGACACAGCAAGAATGTTTCATTTGAAAAATATCAAAAGGACCTGTTTCAGGATTACCAAAAGAAACTCTTTCACACTGGAGAAGGTCAAAGTAAAACATCTGTCTGCCTCCTAATCTCTTTCTCTCCTTCCACTGAAAAATAAGAGCTGATGGGAAAGTACAGTTCATCAGAAAAAGGAAATTCTCCCCCTTCTCTTCAGTATTTTCTGAAAACCAGGCCATCATACTGTAGAAAATCTGTATTTGCAGATTTAGTGGGAAACATGCCTAAACCAGGAAAGAAGAAAAATTCCATGGGAATCAGCTTCCAAGTCAAACAGTTTCTGTAGGTCTGTGTTTGAAATCTTCCCCCTGGAAGCCTAACTTCAGGCATTAACTAATTCGGATTCTGGTCTTATTAAAACAGCATGAGAAGGAAAAAACAGCCAGACAACTCCCTATGACTATTGTAATGTAAATTAAAGCCAGTACTGTAAACACCTGAGGGTTGATTCTTGCAACATAAACGCCAAACAAAGAAGAAGGAAAAAAAGCCACAATTAGTAAACAGCTTTTCTTTTTTTTTCTAAAAAAAGAGGTGATTTTATTGAGTTTTAATATACAGCTTTAATATGTTAGGGTAATCATACAAGATCTCTCTTGTGTTCAATTTACACATTACAATACAGACGTGAGCTAAAATCTTTTGTTTTAATGTACAAAAGGAATCCAATGTTGTCCACTAGCAGCTTTGAACTTGGCAAGAAAGATTCTAAAGACTTTAAGTGCAGTAACAACCATACAAGATACAAAATGAATATAAGGACATTTTGCCAAGGTATATAAACATTTGAAAAAAAATAAAGTGGTGCCTGCTCCACAGGGCAGACAACTAGCAAATTAAAAAAAATCACTGACCAATGTTCCAGAGAAGGAGGAGCATCACCCTGTGTAACAGTTCTTACAAAATGGCCTAAGAATATCTGTATCATAGAATTTGTACTTATCAGAAAAAGGTCTGAAAAGAAACAGTAGGCAAGGAACTGAACAATCAAAAAAATGACACAGTAATATAAAATATTTCCATCATTATTTAAATGCCAAATTAATCAAGCAATAATAAAAAAAAATCCAAAACAAAACAAAAAACCATAAAAACCAAAGCTCTTCTGTTTAAAATAACAGCACTGTTTTTGAATATTGTCAAAGACTTTTTTTTTATGAACACACTATATACTCGATTGCTTCTTTCATACAGAGTAATGTGTCCATTTGGTCTGTCACTTCAGTGAAGCTGATAAACAATCAGCCCATCATGTCTCACCTTTGACACATTTAATGCTTTTCTCCCCTTTCGTTTGCTACTCTGGTGCCTTCTCAAGTTAAATACTTTTCTTCCTTTTCTTTATACAGTGCAGAGTATATGGGCTTGGGATAGCGAGATTTTCCTCTACTCCAGTTCACTCTCTGGTTCTGAGTTCAGTGGTGTGCAGTAGTTTGGCTTGTCTGAAGGCACGTACCCAGGGAGACACAAACATTTGTACGAACCTTCCGTGTTAATGCACTTGGCGTTCTTGCAGAGAGACATCCTGTTGTTCAGCTCGCTGCACTCATTCACATCTGCAACAAGGAGCCATCAAAAGACATGAACTTAAGTACGTGCGTAGATAAAACTCATTTATTTCCAGCATTGTCAAGAGCAGAACAAACTGCATGAATATGCTGAGAACTTTATTTTCAACTCTGATTGGGTGGAATTAGGCTGGGTCAAAAGCTCTAATAGGTTAATTGAAAAGAGGTGGAAGTTAACACAGGAAATCAATAGGGTTTTAAAGGGCCTTAAACTGTTAAGATTACCAAGTTCAAATTCAGCCTAAGCTGATAAACAGAATTTAATAACCACTTACAGGTGTTTATCTGAGGAAAAGTGGCTTATAAGAAAGAAGCTCCAAGTTGTCAGTATAACATCTGTATTTATGCAATTGAACACTTGAGGAGCTGTTGGTGTTGTCAGCTAAATAGTTGTGAAGAGCAAACTACCTGCACTCAACATCGTGCAGCATTGGCCTGACATATAGGACCCACAATTTCTTGCTAAGGAGGCCAGCTTGCCATAAAGTCCTGAAGATTACAAGGCACGTGGACAGCTTCTCTTGATAGAGCTGTGAGATCTTAGCTGTGGGTTATGAAGGGTATTGCTAAGGAAGGTTAACGCAGACCTTAAAGTGAAACAGTCATTATTTCTACTAGACTTCTACACTGGGGAGAGGTTGTTTTGCTCCATCTTCTCATTGACACCTGCCATTCCCGTGTTTTGCTGTTTTAAGTGAAGATTTAGATGTCTTGGTGAGTAAATGTGCAGATTTACTAGTTTGAGAGTGAGAGGAATAGTTGAGTCTGTTGGCTGTTGAAATCAGTGAGAATCAGGTGCAAAACTTCACCAGGTGGTTATCTGCATATTTAGGCAATTCAACTGCTCTAAAAATCCATTCCTAAAATCACTCCCAGTTCCATCCTCCTAGCTCTTGAAAAGCTTTTGAAAAACATTTGGTCTATATATTAGAGTTAAATTCTTCATAGAAGTCTATGCTTCATTCCACAAATGTCTATTCGTTTCTACACTCAGCTGAATACAGCTGCAATGACTAAGATGAGCTGAGGAACACCAACATAGTTATTTTTGTAACAGTAATTACTGACTTTTGCAGCAAATAAAACAAAACTGGCATCTGTAATACAATTCAGGTGATCGCCTCTAACTCCTTTGTTCCAGGTCCTCTTTAGGTCAAGTGACTGAGTAAACTGGACAGACTAACAGGAGAAGTAAAATCCTATCCTCACCAACACAAGTCATTTTGGCCATGTCCAGGTGATAACCGTCAAAGCAGTCACAGGTGTAGCCTTCCTGGACTCTTACACATCGGCCATTTTCACATCCATTCAGAATACCACACTCTTCTGCTTGTAACTCCTCAAAGCTGTTCAGGAAACCTGGGTGGAGAAAGAACAAGAAAGTTTCAAAGCTGTTGAATCAGTATACCCAAATATATAGGGAGAGTCTCAAATTCTCTCAGAATTTTACTGGAATGTGACTTGACTTTGCTGAAAATAGGTCAGCTTTAGCAGAGCTGCACCATCTGGAGTTTTAAATGCACCAGAGAAGTACTGTGATATATCTCAAGATAGAAACTGAATAACGTTGTTAACTCTTAAGTTTTTATTTTGTGTTAAAAGTCTGTAATTTTTTTTTTTTGGTAGTAACTGCATAATTTGATAGTATATTTTTCAAAGGATAAGTCTGTGCTTTCTAAATAGGACATTTTATTTAAATCATTATGTGTATCAACCTTTATGGAAACAAGTGGTAGTGTATTTTGGGGTAAAAGATTCTTAAAACAGTATTCTAGAAAAATAAGGTGTGTGTAGAAGGGAAAGAGATGCATTCTAATTTATCTAGAAGAAAACATAAAAAAAATCAATCTCAGCTGCCTTGAGCAAAGTAAGAAGAAATCAGAGACTGCTTTCCTGTTGTGGTTTTGGTTAACAGCCCTTGGCTTCTGCTTCAGTGACTGGTGCCAGTACAAATACCTATAATCTACCAATTGCTCCTTGTCATAATTCTAGATGGTGAGTAGTCAAACCTTAAAGGGTTGACTTT